ACAACAGTTTTTCCGCTTCTGAATCTAATCTTTTGCATCCTATCGACTATTTGCATACTATTTTTTCTGTTTGTGATTCACAGAATCAAATTCTCGCTATATAGTCGACAACGGTTCCCGATACAGAGTCTTGTTCTGCTACTAGCGCATGCATGTTTGTTGACAAATTAAGAAATCAAGCCCAGATGAATGCGTAAACATCTGGAGAATTTGTTGAATTTTCCTAATTTTAAGAATATTCATGCATTGCAAAGCACTCTCTCTATGATTTAACACGAAAATCAGCTGTCTGAGATGGATAACTGGAAGTTGAAAAAATATTATCGACGTTTGTGTTCGACGATCAACTAACCATGTAATGAATACAACCAACAGGAAATGTTTCTTCAGCGCTATTAAAAGTCATCAATGTACCAATAGTAGAACATGTAGTATGCAAATCCATACGATTCTGCAATGTGACCAGAAATGCTGAATGCTTACGCCAATCACACTCTAAACTCACCTGCAAACACAAATCTGATTCACTCTGAACTCGAAGAAGAAGTTCAGAAATGAAAATTTGAAATTTGCATGAAAATCTTTTATATTGATCTGATATGCGTGATATGAAATGTCATCGACTCTCTTTGATACTGATCAATAGGATTAACTGTACAATTGTTACGAAGAATGTGATTGAGATTGAATGAGAAATTTAACGATGAAACTTGATGAGACTCGTGAGATAAGAAACAAGGAATGAGAGCATTCGTTTAGTTGATTTAACGTGTCATTGTTTAACAACGATACCGTTGGTTCATTAATTATGATTCTCTTTTCTTGTTTCATGTTCACTTGCAATGCAACGCAACACTTTTATTCATTCAGTACCGACACTATCATCTGATACCGACCGACAGTCTTCTTCTAATTCTTGTTTGTACGAAGTTTATCAGGTATATTTCAAGGTTTTCATCAAAAGAATATTCATTCTGTTTTTTGCACTTTAATTTATTCGACTCTTGATTATGCCATAAAAACAATTGAATCCCATGAAAATGATCACTGTTATTGAAGTTTTCATGTACAATATGTTTCGGAACAAAAGAACGTGCAATGATAAAATATTCTAAAACATTGTGCAAAAAGGCAGGAATGATAATATCGCGCGTTGAAGATAAACATGAATTTCATTCTGATTGACTGATATTTCTACCTTAGAGTCTTATTCATTCGATCGTGCCGAATGTAATAAAAATGAAAAAAAACGATAGTGATAAGAATATTTTTGGTTATGCTATCAGTAATAACGGCAACAGCACCATTAATTAATGTTAAAATTCTCAAATGACTCTCAAAATTGATGATTTACCTGTGAATTCGTTTGAAAAATGATTGAGTTGAGTATAACCGACGTATGAACACGAATCAGTGTGGCGAATGTGATATATGAAAGTAATCTTAAAGAAGTGAGATTCACTAAAACTATGAACCAAAATAGCATTTCAAGGATGATCGTTCAGCCATATGTAGAACTTACTTTTGAAATAGCAGTGATTTTGTCGTGGATGTGCCAATAGAATGTTTAGGGCTTAAAACCATTTATGCGAATAAAACAAATTAGACAACATGCTTCGCAAATACATCCAAACCAATACAACACACATTCATCAATGTATATTTCATTTTACATCGACGCACTTTTTTTTTCAAACGTCTTTCCTATTATTCAATTTGATCCATTTATACTCTTTCTCCTTAAATATGCACAATTTCTTGGTAGCCTTCAATTTATTGTAATCTTTCCGCATGCATCATTCAATTAAGTCGTGCAA